ATTACGCAAAGCACCTTACTAACCTACAAAACAGGTTTTGTGATTTTTTCTTAGTTTCGAACTTGATAAACTGTTTTGGATTACTTAGTCTGATTGTTTTACTGATCTGATCTTGAAAATTACATTTTAATCAAATGTTAAAACGTGAAAATATCACAGTTTTCTTTTATATGATTCTTACTTATGTACCTACTTACTTACTTACCTACTCCTGTTACCTCTAATGGAGCATAGGCCACCGACTAGCATTCGTCAATCAACTCCATCTTGTGCCTTTCTGTCTAGTTCCAACCAATTTCTGTTCATTCTTCTCATATCTGTCTCCAATCCTCCGCGTAATGTGTTCTTTGATCTTCTACTTCTCCTTCGGCACTGAGGGTTCCAAGTGAGGGCTTACCTCGTGAAGTAGTTCGATGGTTTCCTCATTGTGTGTCCTTCCTACTTCCAGCGCTTCTACTTGATTCCTTCCTCTGTTGGAATTTGGTTCGATCTACCGTACAGTAGGTTGTTGTGCTCACTACCCCAGTGCCTAACCCGCATCCTTCATCCAAGCTTGGAACTTGCAGTAACACAGGAAGGGTCCCAGGAGGGTTTACTAAGCTATTATAGGGAGAGCTAAATTTATATATCACAAAGGATTCAAGTTTGTATAAAATAATCTTGTTTACCATAATAATACTACCACTCATAACCTAACAAAATCAAGAAATTTCCCGTTATTTTCTTATTTTCGGTAACGTTTATAAATAATCGATCAATAAACTTTAAGACAACTCAACTCATTTAACAGTTATGAATATTTTCTAAAAAAGGATCCTTGTTTTCGCTTACGGAGCTAAGCGTTACAACCTAAAGTATTTAGCAACTTTTGCTGTTTAACAGAATCCCTCTTGATTTGATTAACTGAATTCTGACCACCGCAGTTATATTTCTAAAATTTATTTTAGCAATTCATTATATAGAGGTAGTAGGATCGGTGTTCTTTTAAATCAAAAGTTTTCAAATTCACTTGCCTTTAAAAGTCTTCTTTCTGTTGTAGGTTATTATGCTCTGTACTTGTTTAAACAGTTTATAATAATAGTTAAACATTGAATATTCAGGCATAGAATTTAAACAAAATATTTAAGCGCTTTTTTGTGTTTTTTTTCAAACATTTAAGGATAATCTTGCGTTCAGTAAAGTGATAATTTTATAAACTTCCCCTTATTCTCAGTAAATAGAAGCGTTTTCAAGTAGAAAACATCTATGATAGTTATTTTCAATTGTCACTTTTGTTCAATAAAAAGCAAACACGTATTAAAAGTGTAAATTAGAGAAAATATTTATCACACACGTATTTATATGTTTTTATTTTAAAATTGTTTAAAAAATTCCAGATTTACACTTAAATCGAAAGTAGAGTTTCTATTTATTACACATATTTATTATAAAAAATGATTAGTTTCTTACACACACACACACTTTATGCCACATGCGTTTGCTTTTCTTTTTTCTAAATTAAATAGTACACTTCTTTTTGCCTATTATATACATTATAATCTAGAAACCAGCATTTTTACAAAGAGCATCAGTGGCAGTCATGGGAACTAAGGTGGGTTCAGATTTTCAATTGCAGATTTTTTTTTGTATTTTTTTTTTATTTCGTTTATATTTTTTTTTCTAATTGACAAAACTATCATTGACTTTATTGCGAAACATGATTATTTATGCTAAAAAAAAATTCCCATTTCGTGTATATTACTTTTTTTTACAAGTAGTATCTTGAGGCATTTGCAACCAGTGTTCTCTCTCTCTGTATGTGTGTGTATGTGTGTTTTTATTGGACAGAAATAATTTATGAATGGAAGATTAACAGTAATCTTCATACGAACAGGTTATATCGGTTAAATTCTCATTGAATTAGTCAATATATATACATATATAATATCATAATGTGAAAAAAAATATTAGATGACCTTGTTTTTAAGGATACATCAAACAGTTTAATGTTATTTTGTAACATCGAATTTTCTTTCTACTGCTTGCCTGACTATTTTTTTTACACACAGTCTTATCCCAGTAGAAAAACAAAGCAATAGAGAATAATTTTCGTGCAATAATGGTAATAATAATAATAATAATATTACTAACCGTCTTGGATGTAAATTTGATCAATCGAGTATGTGTTAACAAGTTCGCATAGTGTCAGTGACTGATGAACATGTATTCTGCTGGTATAATCAAGTCATTACCAGCGACAACTAATCAAATAAGTTAAATCCATATTCTCATGGATAAATCAATAAAGAAAAAAAAAGAGGTTTCATTCAATGTTAGTGATTCCTTCAAAAAAAGGTTGCTTGTATGAACATAACAGCTATTCTAGAATTATTTCCCGATACTTTCTGTCTTATTATCAACAGCTTGTTGTTCTATTAGTAACAACTTTTTTTCCTAGATTAGAACAAATTATTTGTATATACTTTAGAAGAAAATTTATACTAAAAGTGTATTAATCAATGAATCGAACTTGTAAGGTTCTCAGAAATCAGTTTTACATTCATTCAGTTGATTGACCGATCTTCACGTGGTGATCGGAGCTTGCCTTTCATGATAACCGGCATTCTCCGATCTACTCTATCCTCTGCCTTCGTTTCCGGTTCTAACAAATTTCTGTTCATTTTTCTCACGTCCGCCTCCACTTCTCGGCGTAATGTGTTTTTTAAGTCTTTCGCTATTCTTTTGACACCACGGATTCCAAGTTAGGGCTTGTCTTGTGAAGCAAATGGGTAGTTTCCTAAATGTGTGTCCTTCTTCTTCATTTTTTCGTCTATTGGATTCTGGTTTGTTCCATCCTACAGTAGGTGTGTTGCTGATGGTTTCCGGCCAAAGTTTATACGTAAAATGAAATTGTAAGACTGTTGAACAGAATAAATGTGGTTATAATAATTAGGTAGTCATGTCGTCACATAATATGTAGAATAACATGAATGAGGTAAAGTTAGTGGATAAGAGTAGATGCTGAATGTTTGTAAGCATCTTGATCTTAGTAATGATAATAAGGGTAAGATTTGTGAATAAGATCACAAAATGCAGAGAGAGAGAGAGGCTGTATGGGCATGAATTAGGTTATTTTAAATCGAAACGATTGTTAACTGAGTTAGGCTAGAAGTTGATCAAGGTAAAAAAAAAGTGATTAAATATATTTCTGCTTGAAACAAAGTTCCCACTGTTTTCTCCGAATAGTTACTGTTTCAGCTATCTCTACAATTCCATAATCTAACAGATTTTGGGTAAGATTGCAAATGATTACTCGCTGTTGACTGTACATATAGGAGATCGCTTGTACTAATGTGAAATCATTCAGAGTGTCCTTTCCATATTCTTATTTGTTTCAAAACTTACAATAAGTCAGCCAACTATCTAATAACAATTGGATTCAAAGCGTTTTTTTAAAAATCTCTATAAGTCTTTTTTATTCTTTGGGATATTTATATATACATATATCTGCAACAAATCTATATAGATAAGTAGCTTTTAATGAAGTAGGAAATGTATTATTACAAGAGCTTAATTAGTTCATATACACGAGCTAAAAAGGCAAACTGAATCTTAGTTAATGCCATATTGCTTACATCTTTAGAAATAAAAATTATTAACTACTCTATTTGTTATTGATTTCTCTCTCTCTCTCACGCTCCCGCCTTCCTCACCAACCACTACTTTCCGTAATTACTACTGCTTCACCCTTCTTTATTATTCTCCTTCCTGTAGAAGCATGTTTCTATGACAAGGGCATCTACTTCAACGAATGATTTTAAACCAAAGGTGGGTATTTTTTTGAGTAGTGTAAATTTATGTGTACACGTCTATCTAATTCTAACCAATTACTAAAAATCAACTAACTGAATATTTATCTTTGTGTGTATGTCTGTGTGCGTTTGTCCTGGACCTCCATTTCTGATTTTGTTCAACTGTTGTTAATTCTTTTTATGTTTGTCTCCATTTCCCGACCAAATGCGTTCTACTTTTTTCCTCTTATTCTTCAGTCGTGCGGTTTTGTCTTGTAACGCTGTTCGGTGTTTTTGCAGTGTATGTCCTATCCATATCCAGCGCTTCTTCCTGATTTTCGTCTTCACTGTAATCTGGTTTGTTCTCTCCCACAGTAGGTTGTTGCTGATGGTGTTCGGCCAACGAATTCAAAGTGTTTTGTGCAGACAATTGTTAATGAAAAAAATAACTGAACGCTTCACAATTCTAAGTAAGGGCCATGCTAATCTTCTCTGTATCCTTCGAATTTCAGTATGCGTACTGACGAAACGAGTACCATTCATGGTTAATCAACTATATTCTACAAGTTTGGGTTAAAAATTACAAAATAGTCAATTTAAATCTGTGCTTCACCTATTAGAACTCCTCGAAGAGGATAACGTCAATAGGTTGCAAAATGTGATTGTGAAACGTTACATTTCAACTTACTAGAATAAAGATTTTAAGTTCGTTATGAAACCTGCTTGTCATGTGTTTAGTACCGTATGGTGAGTATACTATGTTCCTGCATCTGCCGTCTAGTCCGTCGGCATTGATCCGTGATAATGTTCAACTTTGAATCAAACGAGTGTCCACGTATCACACATTCACAACAAACTAAGTATTCTAGGACTGTTGAATGTAAAATAATTAACTTTAGATATGTTTTGTGTGAAATTTATTATCATAAATTTTATTTGGCGTTGAAAAAACTACCCACGTACATGGTATATTTTACTTTTCCTATTGGTTATTAGATATATTTAACACGATTGTTTATTGCTTACGCAAACGAATTCTCAATGATTTCAATGTTGTAAGCACGTAGTATTTATCAGCCATTTAAAACTATGCATAGATAAATAAAACATGGATTTTTGATTGTTTTTTTCACAAAATAATCTCAAATGACTGGTAGGTATATAATATCATTACGAGGTTGTGAAGATTGTTAATTTACACTTTTAAAGTCATAAAATCGATCAGTGTTAGACTACCATTAGATGCCTGGAAGCACTGGACAGCGTTTTCGTCCTGTTATGTGCGCATCCACAACTTCTACACCTCACAGGATTTGAACCTAGGTTCATTGGTCTTGCGCTCGAATGCCTAAGCTCTGGACCACTTAGCCGGTGTCTAACGGCGTTAATGTCTAACTTGGATCAAGTCACAGTCTTGCGCAACCTCATGCAATACTTCATATATTACTTCTGTTCATTACTTCAAAACAATATTTTGTGGTACTTTGGATATCAGTAAGGATTGCGTTATAATTGGCATTTAGTTAACAGAATTACAGATATGCTTTGCTAGCGCAAGTATATCACATCGTACATATAAGATCTTTATACATGATATTGTGGTAGAGTAGTTGACTTAAGTGTATCGACAGGCTAATTCATCAAGACCAGTGTATATGCACTACAAAAAAATGCACTTATGGCGTTTATTTCACTAACTAACCCTTAGAATCAAAACACTATGATATGTTTCTAAATTGTTTTTGTTTTTTTGTACAAAACCAGTGAATCAACAATATCTCTGTAAATATGATTCTCTTATATCTTAACAAATTTAATTTGTTGTATGATTTGTGATGTATATATTATATAGTCATAGTTTATTGTGCGTGCACTTCATTTTACCAGTTGATTACATCTTAATTTTGTTACTGTTTTTTCGGGTCTCAGTTAATGTGAAACTTAAATTGTATAGCTAACTGTATAGTGTAGTGAAATGCACCACAGTAGATTGTTTGTTTTTTTTCATTTAAACTGTCTGTCCATCATGATTTTGTGCTGGGATTTACAGAAATTTGTCTTTGAATTATATACCCATACGACATATAAACGTAAGATAATCGGATCGGTAAATTTGATCAAATCACATTTTATTTACCTTTTAATAATTATCCTTATCATACTCAACAGTACTGATCAACAACTATGTTTTCTAATCAACTTATGAAGTTGATGTTACAATTATTGCAGGGCATAATTTTTGTGAAATCGATATTGCGGGATTAGAAATACAAAACCTTACCACTAATCAATATTAGTCTAGCGTCAAACTAGATTCCTACTTACTCGTAATGTGTAGGATGATACAGGTTATATTATTCAATCCATAAATATCCATTTGCATCGGTTGTGTGTTCTAGCAGTTTTCGACTGTCTACTCTCGATTCTCTTCTGATTTCAAAAAAACTCTGGTGTTGCTGTATACTTTGATTTCTTGATACCTCTCTAGTATCAACTTCCAGGAGACATTCCATTTTATACTAGTTGGAAGCTATCTTTTTATTAGTGTCTGCTACAGTTGCTTTTAATCCTTTACACTATTTCGATGCTTACATCCTCAAATCATGGTATTTATCTTAGGGATAATAAACTGCCCTGCATAATTTAGAAATTTTCAGCCTCAGTAAACTACTCAATAAGAGTAGTTCTGAAGCAATCAAGTTCTCAACTGTTTCCTGCCTTTCAAATTCATTTTGAAGGTGCAAAACATGAATTTTTCTTATAATGAACAATTGAAATGTAATGAATAATTTGCTTTTTCACACTATTCCTATCTGATTTTGTTTAACAGTAGTAACACGTTTATGGTATATTTTCACTTTTTATTCAATAAGTAGGTTATCTAATAAATCTCACTTGATACATTTTTATTCTCCTCATTATTCATGTTATACTACTAATAATAACAATGATGTTTATGAAATGGTGGAGGAAATTTGTAGCTCGGGCGCATAATTGTGGTAGGGGTTTCGTTCTCTGACCTGGATGTTTCGGTGGTGGACCTTTCATTGTTCAATTCTGAACATCATCAGCACAAAGTTTACGATAGAAGCGAAGTATTCGAATTTCCCCACGTTTGCCCCGTAGTTGGTTCTGTTAACCTCCACCTTGATTGGTTGTTGTTGACTTTAAACCTGTCATTGTTTGCACCTTTATTTTGATTTAATACTCCCTTTTGATCCGTTTCTATATCCTATGCTCGCCTGTGATTTTTCTGATTGGCTGATAAATTGGGTCTACGTCGATGTGTTTGTTAATTACTGATTGAAATTTCGGATACTTCACTTCTTCCATCTGAAGTTTGTGCTGATGGTGATATTGTTCCAAAGAAGAACAATGAAAGCTTCACAAACAAAAAAAACCTCAGCTCAGAGAATGAAACACCACCACAACAGTAATCATGTTGTCCCATCAACTGATTAATTTTCCCCTTTTGAATGTGCGCACAATTATCCTTTGTAGAGTTGAATTATTCTTCTTTTCTGGTAAATAACCAAAAGTTTATCTTTTGTAAATGTTTGTGTAATATGGTATTTAGCCAAATGAATTTGAACAATAAATTGTTTCTTTTTTTTCTTTCTAAATTCAATTATGTCCATCGTGGTTTTTTTAGTATACAGTCTAATTAAGCATAAAATTGTCTCATTTTAATACTTACTACATTCAATAAAAATTGAGCAAAAAGCATGACTACTTATTATTTTGTGTAATATACAGAACAGTGCTTACATATACATACAGAAATCTTCAGCTGACATCTTTGTATGAATTCTAGTTTCCTTTTTTTGTTTTTTAAAAAAAATATGTATGTTTCTTTTGTCCAATTCAACAATTTTCACTGAAATAATTTTTAATTTCAGGAGCAATTAACAGTTAAAAGGTCATGTTTATCTTATAATGATCTTGTTGGTGGTAATAAGGTTGGTATTCTGCTTCCAAACTGGTTTTTTTCTTTTTTCTTGATAAATGAGCTATGAGCTAATAAAGACAAAAACTGTACAATTTCGCAATAATATTACCAATGTTAACCAGACTAACCAACCAACTAACCAACTAACTAACTAACTAACTAACTAATCAAGCTGTTATCTTTCTTACCTAACCAATTCGGATGGTCAATATTTTCGGGTTAAGTTTTGTGTAACGCTTTAAATTAATTGAAAAAATAAAGCCACTTTTCAATATTATGATTCAGAATTCAATTATTTTTTGTTTTTATCAATATCTGTATGCCGCCTACATTGTTAAAACTATGGCTAGCTTATTGCAATTTCCATAATAAAACTGTACTATTTTCGTGCGCAAATTCAAAACTCATTGCTCCTCATTTGATAAGACAATACTATTTATTGCTTAATAATCTGTAATTTTCTGTTTAGTTATTGAATAATATAAACTATTATCTCATTCCTATTTTACTTATTTTTTATTTCATAGCTATCTCTAGGTAGTAGAGAACAAGGTGCTAGTTCATTATCGAAAGCGCTTAGTATACACAATGAATGTCAACATCCATATCATCGATATAATCAACCTTTGACGCATTGTTTATCATCCGGTTCAGAAGCATGCACTGTTATTTGTGGTTTAATTGAATTTTTAAAATCTCCACTGCTTATATTGTTACGATTAAATAAAAGTATTCAACGTTCATGTATATCAGAAGTGGATATTCCAGTTAGATTTATATTTATTTATGTTGGACCACAAAATGATGAATTAAATTATGCTGAATTAGCGCGTATATTTGCAGTCATGATGACGAATGATGTAAGTTGACCTTGAATTTGCCTTAATTACTTAATAATGCAGATTATTAAAGTGTTTTCATTATAAATATGATAGACAGTGAATCTTAATGATTACAGGTTCGAATACCAACTCGTTACTTATTTTTTCCAGTCAAGCTAAAAACTGAATATCTAATGTTTGAATTTTACAATAACCAGCATCTACGCACGACCTTTTTATGAAAAGCTTTTTAAGTGTTAGCTCCTCTCTAATTTAAAAGGCCTTACCGCCGGAGACGGAAATCCATGAGCTATGTTAAAGTGTGGCATTTTTACGGTAAGTATTTTCTAACCCCTTTCTTCCAATGTGAGAAGGCAGCATCGCTGCTGATGCTGGTTGTCCGAGGGAAACGCCTTACTGTTGTCACACTGCTCTATTGTCAGCAGTATAACTCCGCCTTTGAGTTGTTGAGTTGCTGCTTTTAGTCGACCGGCCTGGCATGGCAGAACCTACAGGAACATATGTTACAAGCGATATAGCTCAGTTAGGTTATAGCAATAGGCAAGTACGACCTATACGTCAAGGTAGCAGCTACGGTTAGGAGCATCAACATAAAAGAAAATGTTGTTTATCTTTCTGTTTTTTTAGTAATAAACACTTCTCCAGACTATGATGATGAAATTTTCAATTCGATTTGTAGATAAACACGTGCTTTATTTTTTTGTTCTCTTGACACCCCATACGGTAAACATTTTTACAAAACAAACTCCCAAACAATTGACATTCTTGTGCAAAAAAAAATTGCTTACCAATTGAAATTGTAATATAGAAATAAACTGAGCAGGAGATCAGCTGATGATATGTTGTTGTTGTCATCATATATGATGACGACGTCATTGAATGTAAGAAACTAACTAATCTAAAATTTTTGTAACAGACTTGTTTATTCTCTCTCTCTCTCCTTTGTCAATGCATGATTTCAATGGGGTTGATTGAGAAATACATAATCGATTAGAAATAAGAGTATTCTAATTATTATTATTTTTTTTTGTAATCAGTAAGTAATATTCACTAACTGTGACATCATTTCAAGTTCATTGCTCACCTAGGTACATACATCATCATATTTATTTACTTACTAATTTACAAAACAACATGTCTTATTGAAAAAAATAGGAATAAAAAATTATGTGGAGGATAATTTTGAAATTACCTGCTAATTATAGTGATATGTAGAATCTTTTAACCTAGTTTAAAAGGGAATCATTCCAAGTATTATATTGAATATTTCAACATTTAGCTTCATAAACAACATTTTGTTTTTACAATCAAGCAGATTGAATACAAAGCTGTTGTTATCTCATTGAATTACACTTTCGAATCATATCTTTGCTTCCTAATCTTCTCCATTGCTGCTAATAATTCTACTATCGCTATCACTCTTGCATTTGAACTGACAGTTACGTCTGTGTGTGATGATGTGGTATGGCAACCTGAACTGATGTACTTATGTATGAAGTTCTGCGTTGTATCTGTCTGTCCGTCTGTTGTTAAACTATTGTCAATGGTTTACCCTTATGTGCTGCCGTTCTATGCAGCTAGACTTTCCAATTTTTATTTGAAAGTACAATGTTGTTTTAGGCAGTTGATCTGTGATATTTGGTTTTCACTAGCTAGCTGTCCAATAATTCATGATCTATAATGAGTGTATGAATTCAAAAACTTCACTTGTCCACTTGATTCTTATTTTTTGACAAAAAACAATGATAGTATTTTGAATAGATTTTGTATTACAAAAAAAATTGTATTGTATGACAACCTGCTTAGAATAAAGCTTTTTGTTGATAGAAATAATCCTGAAAACAGCAGTATTATCTGTCTTAATTAGTTTGATAGTTATTTGTATTATTATTGTTATTATTAGCTTTTGTGTTGTAAAGTTGTTTGATACAAAATGCAAATACGTTCTACACAAACGTGTGTAATTCAGTGTATTATTCCGGCATAATGTGTCATTGTTTATATTGGCTAAAACAATGCTTCTGATTGTATCTCTAAATAAACAATACTAGTTGAATAACAACGATAAAAAAAAGGGGTGATATGCAGCCGACATTTATTCATATTATTTTCTCAATAATTGAAATGTTGCAATACTAAATGTTTGCCTAAACAAGATCTTACGATTTGATATCACCATGTCTCAGTAGTTTTTATTTATTCAATTAGATTTCGTACGTACGAATTTCTCAGTCAACGAGCAACTCTCCCCTGGTAAAATATCAACTACCGAGAATAATGATTATGTGAGTGTCGTATCTGAAAGCAAGTCTATGACAAAATTAAAAAAGAATGGAGAAAGTGCAAATCCCTAACGGACACCACTTGAAGTAATGAATTCTGAAGACAGTTCGCTCTAGTTAGGCGTCGGAGTGTTATTCAGTCCAATATTTTAGATACTATGATTGTAACAAGAGGATATAGGTTCTTCTTTGTAGACTGGGACAATCAGTGTTTGAGACCAGTGAGATGGGATTACGCCTAGTTCCTATATTTTCTAACTAAGATCTCAGTCAACGTCACTGCTAAAACTGAACCACCATCCCTAAAAATCTCGGAAGTTAGCCTATCAGGACTCGCTGCTCTCCCTCATTTTAGATTTCCTATGGCTCTCTCAACTTCATAAATAGTCTGAGGACTTACATCGATTTATTGGAAAAGCTGTATTTTTTATTGGTAAAATTGCAGTCGAATATTGGAACTTTTTACATCAGTATCATTTACCGTCTGATTTATTTAACTTGGAACTTTGTTTTCTCAACTATGCTCTACCATTGACAAAACTCAACAAATAGCAATAATCGCGATTATATCAAGATGTTCAATCTTGAGCACTAGCCGATAATGTTTTAACGCAGTGCTTACCACCTTGTTTGATAAGGAAGTTTTCTAAAATATAGATGTTTACTTATTATCCACTCTAACTGTTATTTACAACAATACACAAGTTAAGTATTACGATAAAAGAAAGTTCGCATACATATTCATATCAAACAATGCATAATGGCATCTCTTAACTATATACTTCAGGATCATTTCTTTACCCTAGAAGGTTCTTTAAACAATTTTCATTATTTCCAAGTCATGTATCCCTGAAAGTTAAGTTTCACCTTACTCAAAGTAGATTCTCTTGATGTGTTGCTTGAATCGAATAGGTCAACCCTTAGGCTTGAGTTGTTTTTTTAAGCTTCATGATCAAAACATTCAACTCCGAGAATGAAATTTACCTACTTAACTATGAATTCTATCCATCATTTTGAAGTACAATTCAGCCTTTTGTTTAGAATCATATTTTTTAAAGAATATTTTACAATTCTAACAAATATACAAAGCACGATTGACAATATGTATATTCTGACCAGTAAGAGCATTGATGGACTCATATTTTATTAGACTTGGAGATCAGAAGTAAAATATACTTGATATTTAGATTGATACACAAACCTAATACGTTCCACTCTAAACTCCAACTAATCGTCTCGTAAACTAGCAAAATTAGACATCTACTTACTTACTTACTTGTGAAATATGATGTAAAGTGGTTGTCATTTCTGGTTTTTGGTTTTCAGCATTACATTCGACTGGTTTCTCTAAATTTACTATGAACTTGCAGTTTTAAGGTTGCATCAAAGATTGAGTAACCACGAAATATTCAAACTCTAATCAACAAATGACAATCGTTTCCATACATTCTGTGATGTTGTAATGTTTACTTAGCTTATCTAATTATTCCTTAAAATTGATATTCTATTTTCATTTCTCTATTTGTAAAATTATAGACATTTCGGTTATGCGTTTATGATTCCATATCTGTTGATGATGTTGTCAAAGGTATTGATAATTTTATGCAAGATTCATTTGTGATGCCACTTTCACGACATTATAATGCTAATGCACTAGCTGGAATGACACGTCAAATTGAAGCTTATAGAAAAGAAACGGTCTGTGAAAGAGAAGGAGTTGATCGTCGACCAAAAAGTACGTTTCGATAATTTGTTTGTGAATAATGTTTTTATTTTTTTTTTCATTTCAATAGTTTAACATTATTTGATAAAGCAAAACTCTACTTTTTAATGTTGCTTGAATAATTGATTTATTTAATGGGGTATAAGTTTGCAAGTTGAGTAAACAGGAATTGTATTGCTGCTTGAGTCCTTCCATTGATACTCAGGACTGAAATTGATCAGTCCTGGAAAGAACATCAACTCTGAAATTACAGTACATCTATCTGACGAGTCTCAAATAGGACGAAACGTATTAACATCACAAAGCCACTCAGGCTACATAACTATTGAAAATCAGTGAACGTCGGTCACTTAATTTCCATTCGTTTGGAATTTCTTAGCTGTGTTCAGTAATGGGTTGGTTTGGTTCCCTTGATGAACTCATTACTCTGTGATAAGAAAATAACGTTATTCGCTGAAAAAAACTGCATACCAACTAATACTGTCATATCAGTGTGAAACATTTTTTTATCGTCTGCTCAAATCAACGTAATTAGGTTAAAGTCTTTTGAAGAGTAGGATTTACAGAACTCTTCAAAACAATTATTACTAGAAATATCTATTAAGAATCTTTTATAAACAGTTAACTGATGGTGTCACTGACTGATTTGAAGAAAATTACTTACTTACAACTGTCACCCGTAATAAAGCAAAGGCCACCGACTAGCATTCTCAAACCAACTCTGTCCTGGGCCTTCCTTTCCGGTTCCGTCGAATTGTTGTTAATTTTTCTTATGTCCGTCTACGTTTCTCGACCTAGTATATTCTACGGTCTTTCTCCTCCCACTTTGCCTTAAGGATTCCGATCGGGGGCTTACTTTCCAACTCCAGCGCTCCTTGATTTCTTCCTCTGCTGGATTCTGATTTGTTCTCTCCCACAGTAGACTGTTACTGATGCTGTCTAGTCGACGGATTTGAATTATTTTGCGTAGACAACTGTTAATAAACGCTTGTATCTTCCGGATGATGGCTTTTGTAGTTCTGCAAGTTTTCGTCCAATATAATTAAGCTCTCTTAACATTTGTAATGAAAATGCTGACTTTGATGTTGGCTGACAGTTGTTTTGAGTTCCAGATGTTGTTCATTCGTAGAAATGTTTCTCTTGCCTTGCTGAGCAGTGCCTTCACATCTACATCTGATCCACCTTGTTAATCAATAATGCTGCCCACAATTCTTAAGAAACACTTCAATCCTAAATTGAAGCATCTTGTTAGCAGTTGGTTTTCTTTTTAAATTATCAAACCAAATAAATAGATCGCTACAGTTTATCATTAAATATAAAAAAAATACCATACATTAATTATTCTTTTCTGACTAATTAATTAGTTGAACTTAATTAATCAATTCATCAGAAACTACCATTGAAAGCATCAATCAATATGAATTGATTGTGCAGTTAGGTTGATTGATCCTAATAATAATAATAATAATAATAATAATAATAATAATAATAATAATAATAACAATAAAGACAATGGAAAATGAAAATTACAAATTTCAATAATAATAAAAGTTATTTTTGATCTTCTTTAAATATCACTTGATAAATTCTCTTATTTTTCAAACTGACCGCGATGTACAATTAAAAATAAACAGAAAATTTGTAAAACAATAGGTCAAATTTTGATACATATTCAATAAGTAAGTGGTTTGTATCGTCAAAACGAAAATATATGTAGAGAGAAATTATATATATGTAAATAAACAGTTTCAGGAAAAAAAACTATTCTTCATAAATTTAAAATAATTATGAATAATTTTTGTTGTCACGTACAGTGAGACAATCGATCCAACTTATTTTTTTACCAGAAAGTCAACGTCTCACTAGTTGGGGATGTTAAGTTGCCAACCTCTACTCTTCACTGTGTTATTTCTTGGTGTGTGATACTAGTAGAACAGAAACAGGTGAAGAAGGATAAAACTCCGCTTGGAGTTCTTCTAGAGTTATAGCCACCGATCCCAAGCCCAGATAAAAGAGTAGGAGGGTCGGGCATGAGGTCAGTTACCCCATCCTGTAGAAATCCAACTCGCTAAAAACAACCCTGACTAGAAAATAATACGTTGGTCGGGGGTAACAGGGGTAAGTAAGTTGTTAGTAAAAGCAAGATAGACTGTACAATTAAAACATGTGTCGATAAAGTCTTGAATTGTTTTATTCAGTTTGAGCATCATTATCTAGAGATGTAAAACTTTTTGGCAGTCTGCCAATAACTATAAAATTACGCAGTCTTTTTTTTTTCTAATGGTTCTCTATATTTCAAAGACTGTATAGTATCATTCTCATTCTTTAGCAGTTTTTTTTTCTCTTTATCCTTATAATTTTTCTCACTTCTTACTTAGTAGGCTTAATATTTCTTTATTCTTCTTCTTATCATTATTATTAACTTGAATTTTCCTACTTCACTTTCTCTTACAATAATATTTTCATTAATCGTTAAACATATTCAATAAAAAAATTATGATTTTTTAACACATATTGTTTATCCTACTAGTCAACTTCACTGCTTGTTTCTTTTCAATGAAATTTTATTTCCCTTACCCACTATTGTTCTGATCGAATTGATAGTGTGTATCGTGAAGCAATACACATTTATTCATATTATGTTCGTATGACAAGATGAGTAAATGTAAGAGGAAGGAAAACTTTATGATATGCTTATTTATGTCATGGCTTAAATTTTTTTAGCTATTCACACAGCCCAAATACGTGTTGGGGACGTCAGAGCCTTAGAACTCACTTGATAAAAGTCCTAGTTTCGGATTTTATGTTTAAGCATATGGGCTGCTTAGTTAACCTTTTGATTACGTCTCTCACCCGGAAAATCATTGACTGGTATTGCTTCATATCTTATTTTAGTACGCTATTTTTATGGCTCTCCCAAGGACGTTTCTATGATGTATAAATAAACTCGATTTGCGTGCTTGTCAGCCTTGTTTTACTTATATATACTTTCTACGCCTTATCAAGACTTTTTTATATTGTTAGCAAGGCCATGGAACATTCGGATTAGAGTAGCCTATCGTGTGACTGGATCATTTTTATTCACTCTCGTTTACTGACCAAGATGAACTCGTAATAGCGTTCAAGTATATCAATTGACAAGTATAACAATATGATAAATTATGAAATAAGTATGTATGTACACAGTAAATGTTTAAAAAAATCTTGAGTCCTTCCAAGCTTTCAGTTGTTGAGGTCTAAAGTTAGTAATTCTGTTTCGACTTATGTACATTCCGTACAGATTACCTTAGTATTGGCATTAGTTCACATACATTATGAGCAAAGTTGAATAATGAATATCATTGTATACAATCGGAGTAGATAATGCGTTAGGCGTGTGATGTAGAGAATACATTTTAAACCTTAGAACTGTACTACCGTTACTCTCTTTGACTTGTTCCTAAATTCTACCATAAGCTACTGACCAACTCTGTCTGAAATGACAAGAATGGTCTATTTTACTGATAATTGACTTATTTACTGGTATGGGAATTCAGAGAGTGAGAGAGAGATAGCGCGAAAGTTCATTGAAGCATAACGACAGGGTTTTAGCAACACAAAATCGATATCATGAGGCACATAGAATCAACTATGAAAAAAATTTTTAATTAGTAAGGTTAAATGAATCTATCCTATGAGGAAAAAAAAGTAAGAACAAGAAATTAATGATGATAATTGACAGGATAAAACACGACATGATAAGAAGATTGAATGATTGACCTTCATTTTTTACAGCCTGTATTAATTTGATTTTCCCTTTTTATGATCGTTTTGCCTCACAGCTAAGCTTACATTTCTTTACTGATCAATTATGTTTTTTCCTGATTGCGTGACATACATTGTCCCATATATCTAGAATCCTATTGAACTCAACATCCTTCCGATGTTGTGTTTCACAAAATCATAAACAATAAGGAATATTTAAATATATATAAATATATATATATTCGTCCAGTTCATTCAAATGTACTGTTTGATTACCAATTGGTAGCAATCTTCAAAAAAACAAAATCTATTATTGAGATGGTGAAGGAAATTTGTAGCTCGCGGGGGATGATTGTGGTCATGTTTTGTACTCTGACCTGCATGTTTTGGTAGTGGGAGCCTTCATTGTTCTTCTGCTGAAAAACATCATCAGCATCAGAAAAAACTTCAGATAGAAGCAGTGAAGTATTCGAATTTCCCCATGTTTGACCGGTAGCTTGTTCTGTTAACATTGATCGTGATCGGCCGTTATTGTTGTTAAACCTTTCGTTGTCTACACCATCCGTTTGATTGTATCCCCCTTTGATCTTTTCCTTGATCCTATATTGTGGTCTATGATTTTTCAGACTAGTTCCCGAATCGGATCAATGTCGAAGTGTTTGTTGATTGCTGATGGAACTGAGTGCCGAAGATCTGAAAATTCCCTAGTGTTCTTAGTGCTTCCCCTTCCACATTGTTCAAATGGAATATTTGTTGATAGTTGTCCCTACGTATTGATATGAGGGAAGAAATAACGTGGCGTTTGACTGCTAATTGGTGTTCACGTAAACAAAGCTGAAGAGGTCGTCCAATTTATCCTATGTAGTGTTTGTCACAATCTGAGCAATTTATTTTGTAAATGATATTTGGTTCTTATTCCTTTGGTCTACATAAGATTGAATGAAGTGATTCTGTTGGTTTGTGTGCCACACCTATACCAAATGGTCTCAGTATTCGTGTTGTATGTTCCGATATGTCTTTTCTGTATAGTAGGATGACCCACTGATTAGTTCATGTACTTGATTTCGCTTGTTTTGACGTTTCTAGTTGATGATTTTTAATTAAATTGAGTGGATACCCATTCTTTTGGAAGCTAGTCATCAGATACTTTTCCTCAATTTTTAGTGCTTCATATGTTCTGAACTGTATCTTCACTTTGCTTAAGGTCAATAACAACCAATCACAATCAAGGTTAACAGAACAAGCTACCGGAGACATACGAACACTTCACTTCTTCTATCTGATGTTAGTGCTGATGATTTTGTAGTTCAGAAGAAGAACAATGATAGCCCATACCAGCGTAAAATCCAGCTCAGCGAACTAAACACCACCATAAACCTATTATTAAATGTAAATCTAAAGCTTTTCTTTGTTCGGGATGTTAGATCCCCGGAACTCGCTTGATATATATCTTTATTTTGGATTTATTTCATGGACCCATCAGTTGACCTTGAGATTGTAGCATAATAGCTTCAAGCGTACCAAGGGACGATCGTAACATTCTACACATTTGCTGCCTAAACAAATAATACTATTCTAACATTTTCCAACGAAAGTGAAATTTACAAACAAAAAATGTGTTGCAGTATAAGGTTTTTAGATGATTTCTTGGGTTATTCAAAATGAAAAAAAAATAAAAACTTGATTATTCACTTAACCAAAAACTAATTCGCCATCTAAACACAATTGAATTGAGTTAAAAAAAATATTTACCAGAGAACTCCAGTAGAATAGGGATGTCTTTTTTTCGTTCTTAGTTTTAAAATTTACAAAATCTTGACAAAATCAATCAATAATGAGATGATTAGATATCGATTTTTATGGAATAAACCAAGTGAGAATACTTTTTTCCAATCATAGGTCATTTTATTCTATGCATGAAATGAAATGCATAACTAGCTTACGCTTCTTAACCTGATTTTATCAATGGATTAGCATATTTCTTATTTCCGGCTGTAATGGGTTTTTTTTTCAATATTTCATGAAATCTATAAAGTAATCCACAGTGAAAATGAGAGTGGATTTACTAATAGTTTATTCATTGAATAACAACTCGTCAAAATGCACATTACATGTAGTTCAGATAATCTCTTTTTTCAAAGTTGTTGTTGAATGAGAAAAGTACTTACATTTTACATTGTAATTTTATTGAAGTTATCAAACTCTTTTATTTTTTACTTTACTTTACTGTTTTATTTTTCTCTCTGCTTTTTTTCCTTTGTTTTTTTCTCTTTTTTTTGTATTCATTTCTAATTTCAGATCTACGAAGAATGTGACTGATTAATAATAATAGTAATAATTCATTTAATAAAATCATTCTTCTACATAAAATTTTGTGTAATCATCATGTTACAAAAATCTACACACTGCCATGGCGTTTGTACTTATTGTTTTTTGTTTTTCATAGATTTCTTCTCAATCAGTCATTGTATTTTTGAAATGTTTTACTTTGCAAAGTGTAAAACAAAATCTGTATTCGAAATTTATTGCACTCTACAATAATATATTTATATATTTTATGATATGTACAAATTTTTATTGTTATTGTTGTTGTTGGATTTTTTTCTAAACGAAATGAAAAAATATATATATTGGGTAAATAATAATGTATTCTTGATACTTTGAAGCAGCCGGAGAATGGTTATTATTAGCAGAAATATTGAATTAGGGAGAAAAAACATTTTTGTTTTGTAAATTTTAAGTTAATTTCCTGATTTCCCAGTTATTGTTCAATTAAAACCGGTGAAAGATTGACACAAATGATATTAGAATAAAATTGATGCGGGGAGGGTCCTTATTAGACAAACATCGCCCGAAACATTTCATTGACTAGTGAAATGTAATCAATAGATTTTGATTGTATAAAATATTCGATAGGTTGTAAGCAGATAATGACAAAAGAACCCTGACGAAATAAAATGCATTCGAAATTATTCTACACATCAGTCTTTGTTTTTCATTCTCTTTTCAAGATAATAAGGTAGGCTCTGTGTGTATGAAACTAAGCGTAGATTGTATGAAGTTTCAAGTGAAAAATATATGTTTTGGGAATGAATAGTTTGATTGTTATATACTTGGTTGAAAATTACAAAGACAAGATCATATGTGTATAAAACTGAAAGGTTTTCCAGTTGTATCGAATATTTGATGTCTCCACAATCGGTAATTTTTAATCTGTGAGAAATAACATCTCTAATGTTGAGGCTAATTAATATTCCTATTTATTGAGTTATCGTCGCATAATGGGAAAATACATTAAAATATTAGTATACAGTTAATTAATATAACTCCTTTTACACCGATTCACTCTTGTTGAATCACATCGGAAAAACAAGATGTTTATTTCCAAAATTACAGGAAATTAGTAAATGATCACTGTCTTTACTGGGATTAAAAGTTTTTTCTAGGCAAAAACGAATCAAATTCTGTTTTATTCTTATGAAACTTATCATCAAATTGATTTCTAGTATAACGCCAAACTTTCTTTATGTTTTTTTTTACACCAGATTCAGTCACTGTGAGGAAATCGATTGAACAGTCACAAAACAATTTAGTTAATGGTTCTTATCTACCATCCTCATTGAATTTAAAACAACAATCCGATGTTACTAAACCAGATATTGACAGTAAACTTCCTTTACCTGCAAATGAAATTGATACACCGAAAATATCAAAACGTAAAATATTTATGCGTGATTTTTGTCCACCATTTATTGAATTATCACGTGGTATCCGGCCATGGATAAAACGTATGCCAGGTGATTATAAAGATGCAATACGTAAAGAGAATTTCAGTATTGTATTTGGCAGTGTTTTGTTTATTTATTTTGTCAATCTATCACCATCAATTACATTTGCTGCATTGTTAAGTAAGTTAGTTTCATTGATTATTTATTAGTCGCCATTTTGTTTTTATTACATCTTTTATCAGTCAGCTACAATGTTGAATGTCATATGTACTACATACACCAGTTCGGGTGGCCATACCATACTCTTAGTGGTCGAGTCAGACAGACAGACAGATACAACGCAGAATTTCGTACATAAGTACATCAGTTCAGGTTGCCATACCACATCAGCACAGAGACGCAACTGTCAGTTCAAATCCAAGAGTGATAGCGATAGTAGAATTATTAGCAGCAATGGAGAAGATTAGGTAGCGAAGATATAATTCGAGAAGTATTATTCAGTAAGATAAATTTAGAAGGAGAAAGATTATGAAGAATTCAGAAGGTTAGAATCAAAAAGCACACAAAGAGTGGATGCACCTGCGCTCACCATTGCAAACGATTCTGAGTCATGTCGTTCAAGGTCTCTAACCATTGGTGACTTTCGTCTCACGGACGTCAACCAGATAGCCTACATCTACCAACATGACTCAGTTCACTTGTCAGTGACTTCATGGATTTGTGCCATGTTTTGTTCTGGCCGCCCCTCGCTTTCTTCCAATCTACTCCTACACTGCGAAACATAGCTCGTCGAGGCAGTCGGTGGTTAGCCATACCTAAAACATGTGCTAACCACCTTAACTGATGAAGTTTCACTACTTCATCTATTGGTTTGCAATCCCTACCTAGAACAAGTTTCCTAACGACAGCATTGCTTATACGGTTGTCTCGTAATACACGAGCAATGCTTCGGAGACATCGATGATCGAAGACTAGTAACCTACGGAAGTCCTCTACTCTTAGCGACCAAGTCTCTCATCCGTACAGTAGGAAGGAGCGAACTGCTGCACAGTACACTCGTCCTTTGGTTAGCAAACAGATATCTCGCCTGCGCCATAGGTGACGCAGGTTGGCAAAAGCCAATCAAGCTTTCTGTATCTGTGCTGAGATTTCGTCAGTCACCAGGCCATCAGCACTGATGAGACTCCCCAGATAAGTGAAGCGGTCTACACGTTTGACCACTTCACTCCCTATCACTAGTTCAGGTGCCGATGCAACCCAATCTTGAAGCAACATTTTGAATTTCGAGGGTGAGAACCGCATCCCGAACATGCTTGCATTGTTGCTTAGGCTGGTCAGAAGACTCTGCATTTTGTCAGCGTCTTCACCAAGTAGGACAATGTCATCGGCATATTCTAAGTCAATAAGCGAGCCACCTGGTAACAGGTCTACTCCTGAAAATTCAGACGAGGATAAGGTGATTTCTAAGACCATGTCTCTGATAAAATTAAACAAGAATGGAGAGAGTGAGTGGTCGAGGCAGTAGAAGTATTAGCAGTAATCGGAAAGGTTAGGGTTCGAAGATGTTATTCAACAAGTGTAAATAATGCAGTGAAATACATAAAAAAGGGAAGGATACAGGTGATGAGGAATTCATAAGGTTAGGATTTGAGGAGACAAAGAACAGATGTACCTGTATGCAGCCACGTCATTCAGGGTCTCTAACGATCGATTGCCGTTGTCTTGTGGACCTCAACCTGGCAGTCTACACCTAACAACATGGCTCAGTTCAGTTGTCAATGACTTCATGGATTTGTTTCATGAGATAATTTTGCAGCCACAAGCTTTCTACACATCTACTGTGATCATATTGAAGTGAATAACTTATTGAATAAGCTTCATAGAGACAGGTAGGGAAAACTCTCATGATAGTATTTTACAAAAGCCTAGTATAATAATAATCATAAACACTATCCATATAGAAAAAGCTTAAGTTCTAATACAATTGTATTGTTGTAATTAGTTTTCAAAAATTTCGTTTACTAGTTTGAATGACTAGAAAAAAACACTATCACTTGTACATTTAGCTTGTCAAAAAAAAATATCTTTTCTCGTTTCTGTAACAAGTTACATTGTTTTAAAAGTATTTCTATCGAATCGAAATAATGACTTTCATAAAAATTTGGTCATCTAGAGTTTGAAATAATTTTACTGTCTGAATCAAACAACAAACGAATGTGATCCTTATATAATTTTTTTTTATTATTAAAACCATCATTGCATGCTGTTCAGTAAATAAAATTTAGCACTGAATTAACTATTCAAAATTGAAAAAAAAACAAGATGATAATATATGGAGAGAGATTATTATACACAGATAATTGTAACCTGCTTTTATATTGTGTTTTATATTTTTATTTTTTCCTACTTGAAAATAAAATGTTCATATCTGCTTGTTTTTGTAACAGTCTGTTTTGTTGTTGTTCAGTATATCATCATATATTCATTTTGTCTAAGAAATGAAGGAATGGTTGAGTTAGTCTAAATGATGATGCCTTTTGTTTCCGCTATACTGTAATATAAAATGTAACAAATTTGAATCAATTATTCTGGTTAATATATCGTTATAATGCATAACAGATATATGCATATTACATATTACTAAGAGAGCTAATAATACCAAGCATCTTCAGTGATGTGCTGTTACTATTTAGTGTACACTCTAACTTTATTTAAAAGATCGACATTATAAAGTCAATATGAATATACATCTGGGCAGGCAAGGAATATTTCTCAAAGAAAAATCAGTAAAAAAAACGACTAAGCGTTGAGTTGAGGATGTTAGTTCGCAACTTAGTGTGTAGTGCCTCCACACATATATTCCAGTTCGCGTGCATTTTTATTTGGTTAAGCCCTTTTCGATTAATTTATTTAACCAAGCCATTTGTATTGCAACAATTTATATGTACCATTCGTTCTTATTATTGTCTGGGTTGTATGAGGAGCTCACATGACGTGTCCCATTTGTCATTTGACCTTGTCAACTATTCGTCGCTTTTATTCATCTGTGTGCATGCCTATCTCGTTGGTCACATGTCTGTCTCATTTTTGTCTGACTATAAATTCTTCGTCATGCTCTATTTCTTTGAGTTGGCTGTTGGCCTTCTCCAACGCGCTTCTCCTCGCCCATTCGTTCACATTGTAATCCTGGGAGTTGGCTCAACAGCCTTCTCCAATTCACGTCGCTTCATTCGTTTTATTCACTGCTTCTCCGCTTCGCTTTGTGGTGTGTCCCAAAATAAACGTATTCAACACTACGAGTTCACCTTCTGATTTATAAACCGTCAGACGCTAGTTAGTAACGATTGTCTGGACGAGCTAATTACAAACATTAAGAACACGCAGTAACTCGACATACTACAAGTGTATTTCAATTTCTGCTTTTAACAGTAGCCTTTTGATTTTCGTATTGAAAAAAGTCTTTAATGTATAAATGTTGTTATGTGCTATGGACTTATGGTTTGCGTTTTTTTTTTACAAAGTATTTACTTTTGTCAATGTTGTAAACTCCACATTATATGGTTAAGACCACCTTACAACAAAAAGGAAATTCCCTTTATCTTTGATCTTATAAGGAGAAGTATGAAAAAAAAATTTGCAAATTCTTAAAGGCTACAAATATTATTATTATTATTATTATTATTATTATTATTATCATGTCATTTTGACTTGAGTGTTTCACTTGATGATCAGTTTTTGGTTACTGATATATAATGCATTTGTTTCACGATGTAGATTGTGAAGTGTTCATCCTAAGTTTCAAGATATCAACATCTTTGTAAACAAATATCTCAGTCACTTTTTCATAAACTATCTTTCAAACAATGACATGTTTAAGGTCAATAGAAACAAATCAACATCGAGGTTAGCAGGACAGGCTACGCGGGTCATACGTGGAGAAATTCGAATACTTCACTCCTATCTCAAGTTTGTACTGATGATATTGTTCGAAAGAACTATTAGGGCCACATCACCAAAACGTCCAGATCATTGATTGAAACTTCATGAACTGAATAACTTCGACATAAAAATATCTTTAAGCAAGTATACTCTCTATATATAAAAAATAAACTCTCCTTGTCGGTTCTAATCAGCTTGAAAAGTTAATTCATTACTTTCTGTTAACGATTTTGCGACTGTCTTGCTTGTTTGATGACCGGAGTCAACAAAATAATCAGTTTAAATTCTAACTCCATTTTGTAACACTTATTTTTTTATCCCCGAGTATCTACTGATGTGTTCTCTGTTGTAAGTTGTTCTATAAACTTTTAGAATTAAACCAGTTTCAAATGATTTCATTTAATTTGTTACACTAATCATTTCTAACAGTTAACATCATACTCTTAAGATAATGACATTAATTATCAACAGTGAATATGCACTGCTGATGAGTCGTCATTTACTCGAACAGAATAGCCATCCAATGCTTTCAGTTTTCCAAACTGGTGCCAGAAAAGAGGGTCAGAATTACAGAGAGCCATGGAGACAAAATGGCAGCAACACCAACGGAAAGTTTACGCGTACAAAGTAGAGTAGAGTAAACATAAATTACAGTAAAACAATCACTGGTACAATTGATCATAATAATGAATGTTTCTATTAAACTAATCGCTTTTTCTTCATAAAAGTGAATTCACTACATACTTATGAGATAAAATAAAAATTATTCAAAACATATGGTTCTTTGAATAAGATCATTTAATATTATTTTTTTTTATTCTGTTTCTTATTCTGTACCATGAGCTATTTATTTTTTGTTATTCTGATTATAATTATAAACAGATAATAGAAGAACCTGTTGTTCATTTAAATAATCCATAAGCTGTGTCCTTATCAATAAAAAAAATTATCTATGAAAGAGTTCACATAAACAAGATGTGTATATAATATATATGTGGGAATAAAATCCGTATGAATTTTAATTTATATTATTTATAAAGAGAAATAATTAATACCTAATTACTTGATTACTATTTACTTTGTTACGTTACTACCGCTAGTGGATTATAAACCAGCGAATAGCATTATCTAACCCTGACTCTATCCTGAGCCTTCCTTTCTAGTTTCGACTAGGTGATGCTATTTCATTTTGCTCATGGATATCTTCAATTCTCAAAGTAATGTGTTTATTTGTTTACCGG